ACTCCTGGCTTGGTCCCTCCCAGCCCTGAGTCTTGGTAAAGTAAGGGATTGCCTCCTCTTCAACTCCCCCCACTCGCCTATCTCCCTCCCATTTCTGCCCTTTTGGACTTGCACTCCACCATCTCTGCTGGCCTTGCTGCCCTGTGTTTGCTGGGCCTGCTGTCCCTGTGGGCCTTGTTACCCTGCACTCACTGGCCCTGCCGGTCTTGCCGCCCCCAGCTGACTTTTGCTGTCTTCCTGCTGCTGCTGACAAGGCACACCCAGCCTGGCTTTTCGTGAGGCAACTGCTGGCCATGTCAGGCTTTCTTCCCAAGGCTGTGCCCACCCCTTGTCCTTGGCTTTATCCAAATTGTGTGCGGTCTTCTCACAAGGTTTTAGAAGGCAGGTGCATGAAAGAAGGTCCTAGCTACACCAGGGCAAAAGAAGGACAAAGCCATGCATGATTTGGACAAGGGGCAGGCGCGGCCTTGGGAAGAACACCTGGTGTGGCCAGCAGCTGCTTCATGAAGGGCCAGGCCGGGCACGCCTTAGCAGCAGTGACAGGAAGAAGATGGCAAAGGTCAGTTGGGGTGGCAAGGCTGGTAGGGGAAGCAGGGCCAGCAAACGTAGGGTGGCAAGGGCAGCAGGGTCAGCAAGTGCAGGGCAGCATGGGTGCTGGGACAGATGGCCAGTGTTGCTGGCAGGGCCAGCAGAACACAGGCCAAAAGGGCAGAGATGGGGGGGAGATAGGCGGATGGTGGGAACTGAAGCACCCCTGCAGTGGCCATAACTTCAGGGACTGGGCATAACTACCATTTAGTTATGCCACCATAACTTATGAATGAATGGTTGTTACTCGAGGACTATCTGTACTACCTACCAGCACTGTATTTATATATACAAAAGAATAATCTGTAAAATAATGAAATTATACTGGTATTAATTGATTTAGCAGGACAAGTTATTATTCCACACAACTGTAATATGCTTTGACCTCTTGGTAAAATTGTGGGCATACCAGCTAATACGAACAGTATTCCATGAGAATAAAAAACATTTTCAAATGACAGAGCTTCAGATTCATAGCAAAGTATATAAGAATATTATTTATATAGTCTTGTTTATCAGAAATGCAAGCAGTTTAGGTTAATTGTTTTAGTCCATGTTTTCTTGATTTCAGCATATAATGGGCAGGTTCATTTTGTTGTTATTGGTCAGTATTGGGGATTAGAACTCTTAATCAGTCTACCACAAATTTCCCAGAGGTGTTATAATAGAACCAAATAAAACTTTGCCTTCTCAAACAGTAATACAGGTAATCCCTGATTTAAGAACGAGTTCTTTTCCCAAGGTCTGTCCTTGTTGAATTTGGATGTAAGCCGGAACAGTATTATTGTATAATACTGTATAAGTGGTATTGTGTAATAAACTCGAACCATTGTGTATTTAACTCGAATTATTGTGTATTTAACTCAAATATTTGCTACATTAGGCTCTGTCTTAACTATGGGGCGTCTGTAACCCAAGCATTCTTACCCCGGGGACTACCTGTATCTTAGTAGAATGTTATAAATTTAAAGAAGTTTACATCTAGGTTATTTTGTTGCTATTATGGTCAGGTATTTTATCAGTTGGTCTCTACTTGTCTTTTATACTTTGAAATAAAAGTAATTAGATGCAGTGAAATAAGTAGGTAAAAACGGCTAGACCAAACATTTTAAACCAACAAAATTTAATCAAGTATTTAAAATACTATTTTTGAATAATTACATGGAATGGATAAAATTAGGCTAAGTCAGAAACTATAATCATCTGAAAATCTATGGAGTTTATTTCCTCAGAGATTATTTTATGTTACATTCCAAAACAACTCTTGGTAGCCACTTAATAGCATGTAAGGAGAAAATACTGTATACAAAGTCCTTTTAGGAAAGCTAATAAACATTTTGTCAGAAGCTTCCATCAGTGATTGATTTTAGGGGTTTTTTTCCATTCAAAATAGCTCATAAAAATTATATAATATTCACCCAAGCTACACAGACTGTGTTGACTTGATAATTGGAAAATTATTTCAAAAATAAGTATTGTTGCTCTTCTGAACAGAAAATGGTAGGCAGCCTGCGTTTGTTCTTTTATAGCACATCTTCGGTATTATTAATTTAATAATTAATATCTTAAGTAATATATTAATGGCAATTTGGAGAAAAGGATGATTGTACACTGATGTAAAATTTTGTCCTGTGGGGTTGAGGATAATAGTGCAGATTCATGATAATTATTTCCTTGAGCCAACTGTCACTATCATGGCTACTCTGATTGGGATATGCTAATGAATACAGATAGAATTTATTTATTCCATTTATTCAATGCCTAATCTAATATGAATTCACTGTGGTCAACAGCTTCTCTGAGGATGCATATACTGGATTGGCCACTTCTGGTAGGAGGCAGCAGTCCTCCAGGTACCTGAACAAGTACCTTTTATAGATGTTATATGTCAAAATCAGCATTACCTGGAAACCTATCGGTAACCAATGTAGCATCCATAGGATAGATGTAAGGTGCTCCTAGCAGATAACAACACCCACCAATAACTGAGCCACCACATTTTGTACCAATTGGAATTTCCAAATGGTCTTTGAAGGTAACTCCTATAGAGTATGTTGCAGTGGTCTAACTGTATAGTAATGAGGTATTGAGTCACATTTGCAAGAATGAAGATTAATTATAGGATTTACTGTGTTTATGGAATATTACAGAGGTTACTGTATTTTGAGGTGTCCTAGCAGCACCATTGGATTTCCTGACAGATGAGAATAAAAATACTGTAAAAAGAACTTATTACCAATGGTTGGTGTGGGTCTTCCGGGCTGTGTGGCCATGTTGTGGAAGTTTTGTTTCCTAACATTTCGCCAGCATCTGTGA